AAAGGGGAAGTTTCAGCGGAAAGGGGAAGTTTCAGCAGAAAGGGGAAGTTTCAGCGGAAAGGGGAAGTTTCAACGGAAAGGGGAAGTTTCAGCGGAAAGGGGAAGTTTCAGCAGAAAGGGGAAGTTTCAGCGGACCAAGGGGAAATTTCACAGAAAAGGGGAAGTCCTACCGGGAATGGGGAAATCCTACCGGAATAGGGAAGTCCTACCGGGAATGGGGAAGTTTCATCGAAAATAGGGTAATTTCTACCCCCTTTGCGAGGAAACTTCCCCAAAACTATTCCCTAGTGGGAAGGCAACATCATATTAGATACACGGGTATGTAGGCTATGGAAATAAGGTCACCACAGAGTACCACACTGGTCAGACAAACAAATACACTATCTATACAGACAAACATTGAAATATGACATGTAGTTTGTGGCAGAATGTTACCACGATTTTATTTAGAGGCCACAAAGCTGCAGTTATTTTTCGGCTATACGAATTGGCGTCGGACTTCAGAATTCGAGGCTAATAATGTTAATACTGTATAACACTTATGAATAAAAACAAATTAAATATTGCTTAATTATGTTGCAAATATATGAAAATGTATAGACAGTGTTCCTCACGTTCGTAATTGCAAATTTATATAAAATGCTAAAAAGAGGTAAAAAACGAGATATTGATTTAAGGGGGTTTCAGGACTCTTACAAATAAATCATATACTATATATGCAAGACCACAAACTTGTGTTATTCTAAAGAATCAGAAAGCACGAGTGTATTGCGCGGACGAATATATTCACGAGTGCGTCCGCGCAATAAATTAGTGATTTCTGGTTCATTAGAAATATCACATACCTTCCGTATTTGGTAGAGATCGATACAAAGATTTTATAAACGTTTTTGCAAATACCGGGAACTTTTCAGTTCGCCATGACAACGGGATTCCCATAAAATGTAGTTCCGGCTAGTAGGTAAATACAACATTCCGTATTGCACATGTGCAATACAAAACGTTGTATTTCATGGCTTTTCGGCTAAATCATTTAACATGTGCAGTTCAACAAACTATCTGGATTCATATATATATACCTATCCTTCAAAGGCTTAAAACGGTCTTTTTGACAGGTTTAATTTCATATAAGAGCGCTACAGACCCGATCTGTGAAGCGGGTACGGAACACATCCTGACTTTTGATCCTATATCAATCCGCCATCATTTATTAAATATCTACCAAGGCTATACATATTTGAAAACAGAAATATCTCTAGACTCCATTCAATAAAAATCTGTAAATAATACACATTTAAACTACTCGAAGTCACTGTATATAATCGGCACCAATTTTAGGTAGGGATTACAATGGTATACGATACTTGCTGATTAGCCGGAACCCTACACTTTTAACGTTTTTAAATAAAATAAAAAAGTGTTTCAGTTTGGCAGCAGACCAATTATGGTATCTTTAATGTCTACTAAGCAGAATACACAGAAGAAAATCAAGACACGGCAAGAAGAGTTTTGGTCACATAATAATAATAATAATTCGAGGTTTTTATATATCGCTTTGTCACAACCTACATTAGTTTGAAGGTCGTCTCAAAGCGGTTCACAGATAATTATCCGTGGTCATAGGGCCTTTGCAACGCGTCAATATCCTGTTCAGCTCCCTGGGAAGCATACAGCCGGCGCTGCCATTTCGGCGCTCACAGCTAGCATGCAACTATTCCAGCACTGTCCAACCACGTACTTGTTTACAGCTAAGTAGACTGGAATAAGCGGAGTAAAGTAGCTTGCTCAAACATACAACACAGTGCCGTGCTGTGACTCGAACCTGCAACGCTTCGGTAACGAGCCCGGCGTCCTACCACTAGACTACCGTGCTTCCTAAATCATAAAACATAAAACATCAATCGCTTCTTACAATAACATGCCGCGAAATACATCACGCAAGTTATCTCCCCTGAATGTGCAGGGTTAGTTAAACATGTAACATCATGTTAGCACCTGATGTACCGGTTGTATGACCCAACAAACCATGATTTCTACCCACTTCGACCCACCCAACACTTGTACCAATTGACCCATCTCTATCTCCCATTACGCAGCGAAATATCGAGGAGGCTATGATAAATAGTACTCAAAGATTATCTCTTTCTTGACAACGTGATTATCGTGTGAAGATAGTGTGACCCACTAACCAGAAAGGACAACTACCCGTGTATAAAGCCAGCGTTGTAAACTTAAGACATGACGTTATCTGTATCAGGCAGTATAAGCAGTGTAAAGATCAAAATAGAAAATATAAGGTTTGTCAACTATTTTATTCCTGCATGTGTTGCCCGTCATTGTAGTTTGTCTGTTCAGTGTGACAACCTTTTTTTTTTTTTTTTTTTTTTTTTGACATCATCTCATAAGAGGACGTTGATAAGACCAATATTGAAATGCTCCCTTTATTCCAACACTTCAGGTTTTTGTTTTGTTTCTATCTCACATTCCCTTTCCCTCGATAGTGCTTTCCTAGGCATCCGTTTCCATGCTACCTAAGCTTTTGCGAGGACTTTTAACCCATTGCAAACAAACACGTCTACATCCGATTCACTACCGAGCCTATCAGCTATGAAGCAGACGACTCTATTTCTGCAAAACACAATTACTGATATTTTATACCGATAACATTATGACATCCGGGTCTCTGAGGTGGACTGGATAACCCGGACTGACCTTTTAAATCTGTTCGGGAACAGACTTTATATTAATCATATTGAATCACGACGTGCGTGTCTAAATTGTTAGTTTACCGCTTAGTATGCTCACTACATCTTTGGTATTTGAAGGCGACGTCGACTAAAGATTGAGCCACTCAAAAGCCATTTTAAAATGTCATACACATTTTGTAAATGTAATAAAAAAAAATACTAATGACTCAAGATACTGCAGATCTGCTGTGTTCTATGCATGTTATAAATTTGGACCTAACGTTGCTTTTGACATGAAGTTGAAACCAGAATGGAACCGAAAATTTCGAAATTGAGGATGGGAGATTTGTTTTCTAATATATATAATGATGACTGATGGAACCTGTTTAAGCGTCTTGGCTTGTGATTGATTAGTCATTCGTTTTATTTTTCTCGATCTCACGTACCCCTGGTGATCATTTTGCGTCAACATAACACTAACACAATCTTTTCGTATTGAAGTTTAACTTATCAGACAAATTATATCACAATATTCACTATATCTGATATAGCACAAGTCAATGGCATTTATAATTAGTCACACTTAACATTGCAGAGCTTTGTCTTATTAAAGGAAATAAAACAGCCATCGTATTGGGTTATTTGATAAAACCATCACAAAAAAACACTGAACGAATTATTTTTGTATTGAAACAATTAACATCCAGTGTTCATTAAAAACCGTACATGGTTTTCTGTCTGTAAAAAAACACAAACGAATAAATTCAATCAATCAGATACATAGTTATACTTTACTTACTCTAAACGGACTTATATTCATTTTCACAGTTTATATATATATATTCTCCTGGACATGTCTCGTATGTACGTCTCTATAACTTACCAGTGTGTATGTAGTAAAAGAGTTCCAGCTATAACGTCACATTTTCACGTGACCTGTTAATAAGATCGTAACACTATTGCTGACAAAAAATGATAACAAAACACATCTAACAGACTATATTCTATAAAAAGTACAGTATTCTTTTCGTTCGCAAATTCATGCCCCAAAGTGTCAGGTGTTGTCTTTTAACTCTTTCCCTGCCGTTGTCGTGTACACACGACAACAATATGTCATCGTGTTTGTCGTGTACAGACGACAACAATATGTCATCATGTTTGTCGTGTACACACGACACAACAATATATCATCGTGTTTGTCGTGTACAGACGACACAATAAAAACCTGCACTACAACGCTGTTTTTAACACAAGGAATCGTATCGTTCTTTGTCGGACAAATGTCGATTTATCAGTCATACTCAGCTGCCAGTTAGTAATAATGCTGCGAAAATGAAGAAGTGTGTGTCTATGAAAAACAACATAAAACAATAACAATATTTGTCACGGTTACCTGTTTATTTATTGCAGCAGTTACACCTAATCGTCTAAAAAGTACATTACATCCGCCATTTTGTTTTTGGCGCGGGGGTGAGTCTGTGTGCATGTCTAGTAAGGACATCCGGTACGGAATCCGGACCGGAGTTGCGGTACGGAACTAGTTACTATCTTGCTATAGGGAAACTGCCCATGTTAGCTACTCCACATTGGTTTTTCTTGTTCCGTGACATCATGATATAACCTTTATTACCCCAGCTTGTCCCCCAACTGAAACAGAACCACATGCAACACGTTAAGTTTTATAAATATATTAATACGGAAAAAAAATGGTTAACAATTCAATTTTACGCCTATATTCACTAAGCTGTTCAAGTGGTTTTAAGTCCTTTTAGAAAAAAATATGTGATTGACGTGGTACCGCAATTTTTTTATTTGCCTTAGTTCAGTCTATTTGGATCTATTATTTAGTGATTTTATGGAAACACAAACAAGAATATGAATCAACCAAAGTCTATGATTACGCGGATATCGATAAGAATTCATAAATTGGAGGGTTTTCCAAACAACAATTTCTTTTAAATTTAACTTATATATTGTCAAAATGTTTTATTATATAAACAAGTATATAAATTAGCATTTTTCTATTGTTATACATCTAGTAGAAATTATCACGTGCAAATGTTCGCTTTGTATATTTTCTGCAAAACTGATCGCAGTGTAGATTATTTTTAGTCTGTGACGGTTCTGATCTATATAAAAATATAAATTCTATGATATATTTACAATCTATATGATCTATTAGCTCTGCTTGTCGATATTTTCGCGCTAATTTATTGAATGCGAAAAACAGGAAACTGTTCACTTTTGCCGGGTACGGTATAGAATATACATTTTGAATAGTTACCTATTCTTCATCAGCCAAAAGTCAGTCCCATTAAGTGTCCCATACCCCACAACAAGTAGAGAATGGTTCACGTTCTGGGTACACTTTTGGTCGTTCAATATCCCGTGCTTGTACATCTCAAATGATTCTGTCGTTGCATCAACCGCTACAGCAATCGGACCAATTGTAGCAACAGCTTTTTGTAACGCGAGTTCGCTCCCTTTTTGAACTTTTCCATATCCGGTTAAGGTGGCACCTACATTTGTCTTGTTAAAGTGACATTTTTCATCCTGTAAGTATAAATGTAGCTTAATTGCAAAACACATTAAGTTGATTTTAAACGACATTTATAAAGTATTTTAGAATATTTGGTTAATTTAATCGTTTACAATGAACCGAGTATACCAAGATCGCTCATCTCAAATGATAAATCCAATTTGATCTTTTAACACAGGTACAATGTAGAATGCCGACTAGTTTTGTCCTTCGAAAATATTTTATAGTAGATTCAATTTTAATGTAAACGTTCTTTCTTTTGTATAGTTTCCATGCGACCAACCTTGGACAATAATGGAAATATTGTTTTATATCTAGTATTCCGTCTTTTCGTAATCCAGAGTTGTCTGCTCTTATGAGCAGGTATTGATTGTTACGCATTTGTTTGTGAGAGTAACGTCATATTTGTTTGAGAAAACGAAGTAATTTCCTCACACAAACTAATGACGAAGCAATCAATACCTGCTCACAAGAGCAGATAACTTTTGAATAAGAAAAGACGGAATAGCAATTCAAAACACTTTATTCGTGAAACTTGTCGTAATATAGACATGAGTTTAACCGTTTCGGTTAATACATGTAATTTATAACTATATCAGGTCTATGTAACCAAGGATTCAACTGAAGAAAAGTCCAAAATTGATACTGTTCATATGTTAACGACTAATAAAACACATTTTATATGAATGTTTACTTTTAAATGATATATATATATTTATATTAATTTCACTAAGTAAAAAATAAATTCACCGACGGCAGGGCAAAATGTGTGCCGAATTATTTTAATTGAACCGGAATTCTACCTATTATATTTCTGAATTGTGGTAATTTTACCTGTGTAACAGTATAATTACCTTTCCGGTGTAAGGATAGGATACATCTGTATCAATCCCCTTGTTTTTAATGATGTACTCGTAAGACTGTATCATCGACCCACCTTCGCAGCCATTATTTCCTGTCAGGAGGAATACATATTTGTCAGTGGTGGATAATATATATATATATATATATATATATATCTGTATATAATGTGTGTCTGTTTTAATAGGATTTAACGACCTATCATGAGGTCACTTAATGATGTGCATCCATGTGTGGTATGTATGCCTGTATGTGTGTATGTGTGCATGTGTGTATGTGTGCATGTGTGTATGTGTGCATGTGTGTATGTGTGTATGTGTGTATGTGTGTATGTGTGCATGTGTGTATGTGTGCCAGAGACAGAGTAAATGTAAATTAACAACACCGGATATTAATACCAGCTAGGCGGAGATCACACGAGGTGGACTACATGTACCTACAGTTGAAGGTGAGAGTTTTCTATATTTTCCTTACTTCAGAGGATGGCATGGGTTTAAGGCCTTTTTATGAATACCTCACATTTTAAGCGTTTACTTAAACCATAGAAATCGTTCATATATGGGTCAATATTTCTACCAGACTTACAAACACGTCCTCTTGTATCAGCGAAAATTTACGAGTGACAGCTATTACGTGTCTGAGTTAATATTTGAAGTACTTCCCCCCACATATTTTACTGCCTACAACTAGATAAATATATATCTACATTCCACACATTCATTGTGTCAGTTAAAGCATTGTATTAAATGAAATATCGTCAAAAAGTTGTTGTCGAACTATACGGCAAATTGAATGTTTGATTAAGATTACTGTACGGCATCATGCAAATTGCAAGTCGCCGTATAAATGCTATGAAATTATGTCTGCATATTTCTCATAATTTATAACCAACTTTAAAAATACGATATATGTATGTAATGCATAAACATATCAATTAGGCATAGGTAGTGAAATTGTTCGAAAAAAAAGTATCACTCGTGTGTTTTCGTCGATACCAGGCGGCGTGTTTGCAAGTCTAAACAAATATTGACCAATATAGGAATGTTCTCTGTGGTGTAAGCCATTGCTTAAAATGTGAGGATTGATATAAAAAAAAAAGCCCAAACAACATACAAGGCTCTGAGGAAATGAAAATATCAAAAGAAACTCACCTGCAGCAAAAGCCTACTTTGTGTGAACAACGCCTGCCTGGTACAATGTAGCAATACCGGTTTCGTTAACAAACAATGGGGTATGTTGGTGTAATTGCCTCCTTGAGATAGTGCGGATCTGATACCGACATTATAGTTCTATCTCACTGAAACACCATGCCGAGTGCACCCAGAACTGCATTCTACAATGTGCTTTTCTTTGTACAGGGCTTAGCGTCCTAGCAACAGCTAAGGTCATGTAAGGACGGCCTCCTTGTTGTTTGTGTGTGCATGTGTGTATGTGTGTATGTGTTTAGGATGCAAGGCATGTAGGTGTAATTACCTCCTTGTTAATAGTCTGTGTAAATGACGCATTATGTAAAAAAAAATTGAGATTTACTAAATACCATTTATCATTACTTATTGAAATGTTCAATTGCTTCCAAACATCAAGAACTAACAATGCCTGACAAAAAGACGTCAAATACTGTTTACCGGAATGACGTTACTATGGCGTGAAATGCCGCTGAAATGTTCCGAACCGACATGAAGTTCCAATTTTGTGTCAGACAAAAAGGTACAAGTCAGTAGATACCTGTTTCATAAAGAATGATAATTTTAGCAATTTTCGTACAAATTGACCAATCTTACAGCTAGCTCATTGAAGTCGACTTGTTGTTACTGATATACCTTTACCCCCTTATTATATAACTGGTGCTAATTCCCAGCCCTGATTGGAGGAGCGACGTCATGTGACGAGTCTGTAAATATGTGACAGACCTCGTTCTATGAATAGAAAAGTGATACAAACCTCAACCTATAAAAAGAAAAGTGTTACAGACCGCTACTAAAAATAAACCTGGTTAATTTCCCAGCCATCGATTAACAGCCAATCGCAATCAAATCATCTGTTACAGACCTCGTTCTATGAATAGAAAAGTGTTACAGACCTCGACCTATAAATAGAAAAGTGTTGCAAACCGCTACTGAAAATAGCCCTAGGTAATTTCCCAGTCAGTCTGTAATTCTGTTACCAATAACACTACTGAATTTAATTACAAATGAATTATCTGATCAAATTCTGAACTATGTGAATATTGATGATGTCGATTATGCAATTAATATTTACTTGAAATTAAATATCAAATGAATTGAATCTGAAATTCATTTTTTGTGTGTGTTATTTTGTATTTTAAGTCCTTCACTCTGTGAATCCAAAATGGTCCATGCCATCCATTTGTTGACGACATAAAAAATGATTGATCTCATTGTAAAATGTCATATAATAAAACAATTGTGGACTTCAGTTTCGGTCTATCCCTGATTTACGGACCTGGTCTGAACAATATGCACAGAGGCCGAAGACCAGGCTCATAAATCAGGGATAGACCTCACCTGAAGTCCATAATTGTATATTATATACCACATTACGGCTAAATAACGTGACTTTTGTAGCGGAGAATTGTATCTTGGAAACGATGTATTACACTAATCTCATAGATGTATGGTATACGTGTACACACTGCATTACTGGTTTTCGTACTGACCTTCAGCGTTAGAGCAGTCCATTAGGTCCTGAGCGGACAATGGGACAAGCTGACCGGTGACATTGTAATGCTGACCTTCCACTGCACCGTTGGCAGTAAACGCCCAGCAGGACCCGCACTGAAACTGTCATAAATAGTTTTTCTTAATTTTTCTTTCGAAATAAGAATTAATGAGTTCATTATTTTTTTCACAAATTTGTAGACTGGCGTGACAGGGTCTCTTTGCATTTGTAAATCAACCTAACGTAAACTAATGTGCAAAATGTAGAGCAGACTGCACAAATGAAGTTTCCTCTGGCTCCTGGGCAATGGCCATACCTACCTACGTCACAAATAATTACATTTTACTTCAGGAGGCCAACCGTATTGCTATGCATGTGATCAACCACTTACAGTCAAGTAATTTTTTTTTATTGGATATGCTGATTTCACACGAAAACGTGACAGATTATATAGTGTAGATATGTATGAAAAGTATATTAGATATAATTTCTTTGTAATTAATTTGTGCTTATTTAAAGTCAATCGGCCTTTATAAAAAAAACTGCAAGTTTAACAACCAATAAGTGATCTGTTGAGGTACTTTTACATTGTACATATTTAAACATTTTTGGTTTAAAGTTTGATGTGTTCAATTGTGAATGCCTCTTGTTACCATGTTGTTTGACCGAAACTCACAATGCCGATGAGCCGTGAAACAATACCAAAATCAAACCAAAATTTTAATTTTAATATCGTGACGTCATACTCACTTAAAGATCCCATTCCAATACAAACAATTATTTCAGTCGTTTAAACATGGAAAAACGCTGTAATGCACTGGAGTTATCATCGTTGTACACTAGAGTTACATGTAACACTTTAAACATATAAAACAACGTCTACAATTCTTTTATAACCCATTTACGACGGTATTGCTTCGTATAAAACAGTTTTCGTATTTATTGTGGCCTTCGTCTTGTTCCATTTTCTACCCACATTTCATTTTTTTTCAGGTTGGTACTCTATGACCACGTTTTAAACAAAGCGTACCCGAATCGAGTCAGTTCGGTGCATACATATAAAAACTAATTGAATATACGCTTACGGCGTATCCGAATCGACATCGATGTGAGTGGATAACTCGTACATATTTCATGTTAACTGCCCATATTAGGAGATAGCAGAGGGGCCTGACATATTACTTATAAATTGCATACACTAACCATATGAGGTACACCTTTGTGTATATACGCTTCACTGATCATTTGTCTGATCAAGGTGACAAAGAACATACCGTACTAGTCATCGAAACGTCACACTTAATGGTTGTGCTACGTGAATCTTTTTACAACACGTTATACATTGGTAATTAATTTACACAAGACGACGTACCTGATTTCCAACAGGAGACACCCATCCTTCTGTCTTCCAGTCTATTTTTTCAGGTAAGTTGTGCACCTTAGTATCGGCTCGTACCTCGTGCTTAAACTTAAGACTTTGGAAATCTGATTCTTTAAAGCCATGCATTCGTGCTTTTCTTTCATCGTGTGTCTGAAATAAGCAAATTATTACAACGTGTGAAAAATATTAACCGGAAATCATTATTTCTTGATCGCTGTGTTTTATTTAGAAGATAATGTTCTAAACATTTTGTAGGAGAAAGTTTGAAACCATCGGTACATTTGAAATTTTGTTCAAGACAAAGAAGGACCGGGTCAGTGACTACATGTACCTGCACACATGTAACCAAGTTCCTCTTGAGTTCGGATGTTCCGGGTTCGAATCCTTATCTTACCATGTCCCCTATTTCCCCCCTTTCACATACTCTGTATACGTACAAAGAATAGATATATGGAGATAGGTTCCTTACACATGATAACTTGGAAAAAAATACAAAGGAATACAGAGATTGTTATTTAAGGATTGCCGTCCCATTGTTGGTTTTAACAATACAAATTTCACTATAAGTTCTGCGTGCATACCTTAACCCTCAATGTTTTTCCAGTGAGATAGCACTTTAAAGTCGTCATCAAATCTGCGCTCTCATAATGAGGCAAATACACCAACATACCCTGGCTCAAGCACAAAAACAGGTATACACAATGCATGGATGCACGTCCTTAAATAATCTTAGATTTTGATAGGACGTTGCAACTTGTACAATTAGCCAATGAAATGTACCCACCATGTCGCTATACTCGTTAATGCCCAGTGTAAAACTGTGAAGTCCCTTGTCGGCCTCCATGTTGTGTTTTCTAACCTTCTCCAAATTTTCTGCCCAAATTGACCGTCTGTAAAACAAAATGATGTCAACATTATAAATATCGCTATTAACACTGAAGTCAACATACTCGTTTATAGATACCAAAAAAGCACACACCTTTGTTTGATGAAATAATGATGAAGGTGATAATTCATTTTCGCTTGCCAAGGGTTACGATCCGGTACGTTCTACCAACTCTTAGGTAGAACGTACCGGATCATCAACCCTTGGCTATCGAAAATGGGGATTGCATATTAAATGTGAGGGCGATGTCATAAGAGAGTATATCTCACGAATTAAAATGTAGAAGTTGGTTCATGTCCTTGGATCTTGTGTTCCATTGAGAATGTATAGGCATGTCCTGTTACGTAAAATATTAAAAAGTAAATGATTTTTTTAAAGTTGCACGATTGTGTTAGGACTTCAAACTTTAGAAAGGGTAAAGGGAACATCTTTCCCACAATACACTGTTTCATGGGTAACGGAACATCTTTTGGTATCAAGTTTTATTATTTTTAACTGCGTCCTCGGTCAATATATCCTTTCTCGGGTTGATAAATCCAGGTATCGACCTCAGCCAAAGGCTATAATTGAATATTATTATTTTTTTTCATATTATTCCCGGCAAGTGACTGGCCAGGAGTGCATCACGTGTCCACCGATAAAATCGATATTGACTTGGAGCGCGTGATATTTGTTGAAAGACTGGGTGTTTCTAAAAACAGAATTATGACGTGACTCCAAACAAACGCATCGTCCCGCTTCCGTAGATTTTTGCTGTGATTTTTTTTACAGATTGCTAACATAACTGTTTTGAAAATAATAAAACAATTGTAGCCTTTGACTTCGGTCGATACCTGGATTTATCGACCCGAGAAAAGATATATTGACCTCGGACTGCGTTTTAATTCCGCATCACAACTAATGTCACTAGTAGTCCTGGAAATGTTGGATTTATATCAGGAAATATATATACGTAAGTGATTGTTGATTTCTTTCAACTAGTCAATTATAAAAAAAAAATACATTATCAAAATAATTTGTTGCACAACCATTTGAACAAACTATCTTCATAATTATATACATACACATATTTTAATCATTTTTTAGAATAATGTTCTCGAAGAATTGGGTTTGGGTAGGATCATCATTTTCCTTTAAAAAATGAAGGAAGGAAGGAAGCATTCTGGTAGCATTGTATTAACATCAATGGAAACCAATACCATCGGTGAAAATGTTTGTTGATAATATTCTTTAGTCAATCTGATATTATTATTTTTTTACACTACAGCCGCCTTTCATATTAGGTGGGAAAATCATAATATCACATGTCTGTAATCCAAAAGTGTCGATGAATATTTCGTAAGGATTCCTGTATGCTCTAAATTTCAGCGATGGTATAACATCCTGAAGTCCAGGGTTCGATTCCCGGTCGGGTCCAGCACAATTTGGACACTCAGAACACGTTTGTTGGTCATATTTTGTTTATTTCATCTCCATCATGGTTTTTTTATATAAAAAGAAGTCCTGCAAGGTGCACTTCTTTTCTTTCCAAATGAATTTATCAAAACTCCAGTCATTTCTTTGAAATACTTTGATATTGAGAGAACACACTGTTCTGTCAATAATAAACATGCAATATTTTAATAGTTTAATATCAAACATCAGAATATGCGGAAATTGTGATACTGTCTCCCTACATTGGATTTTCAACTAGGGATGCACTTCCTATTTCCGTTTATTAATACACTCCTATGACCTTAACTGAGAAAGTTAGCTTTCATTCCGTCCGAGTTACTTCCCCTCAAACAAGAAACAGCTACCATGATAGGGTGATATGCATATATATATGATGTTCTTGTCACGTTGAAAAAAAAACGTCATTTAGATTGATCTATCCAATTTTAACTCCAGATACATCAATTCAATATCACTATACATGTATATATATAAACCTTTTTTCTGTGTATACCAACGATATCTGAAATACGAGGACGCAAAAAATGTTGAACCATCAAAGAAGCAAACATCTATTATTAAACCTCACCAGCCCTACTGGAGACCAGAGCACAGCTGTAAAAAAAAAAAGGTGGGTAGCTCAATAAGTGATAATTTAAAACACAACTATTTACTGAGTTCAATATCTCCAGAAAGCAAATATTTGAGTAAAATTACATAGAAAATTACAAGTTTTTACATTGTAAAGTGACCGAATGAACAGGGATTAAGCTAGATACCTACTATTGAACTAATAGTTCAAGAATGACGAAGTTGTTATAGCGTGATGACAAAAAAAAAGAAATTCATATAAAAAATGGAAAGTAGATAAGGCAAAAACAAGTGTTAATGTTTTGTCAAAGTTTTTAAATAAATATTACGTAACAGAGGTTTATCTTTCCAAAGCCGAATGAGCTGAACAGAAATTATTCCTAGTCGGGACGATAGGATCCTGCTAGTAATTTGCTAGGAGCTTGTCCCGAGTTTTCCAAGGGTCATAGTGTTTCTTGTAAAAGTATCGCCGAGTATATTTGTCAATATTACCCGGGTCCCTACGTGGATGCCAATGGTACAGAGGATATTATGTTCGAATGCCTCCACCGAGAGTCGCACAATGGACCTCTGGTTTACTAGTCTTACGTTCTACAGAATAAGCTGAAGAGCAGTTCATCCTAGCCGAGGCGGTAGGATGCGGCTAGTATTTTACCAGGGTGACAATTAAATGTGAAATGTCATTTTTTTTTAAAGTCATCACAACAGATAAAACATAATGTCTGGTCAGGTGTATCCCTGCCTCGGGTTGGGATGGGGGATTCCCCATTCATATCCATAACCATTGTGTGACGTCACGTCAACAATACAATGACGTCTCGGAAACAATCAATCAACATCACATCAACAATGCATTTTATCTGTAAAGTTAACATTACATTAAATTTACATTTCTACTCAACTTGGACTCAATATACCTACTTGTCATTTTATAGGTTATTTTTTTCAATGAACTTTTCAGTTGGCAAGTATCAGCAAATAAATCAACCTGATTGCTCTGTTATTCCGCGGAACGCGGGAAGTACATGTAGTTCCATTCATAGATTGTTTTCAATTATTTATTTTTTTGTCAGAAGTATTCAATTGAATTAAAAAAATAATTTACATCTTAATTTGCTTATTCATCTTACCAGGACGACGTCTCACAGTGAGTGATGACGTCATTAAGTGTTGATACCTTCCGTGGTGTTAGACTTGCACAAGACCGATATTTTAGAAATTATCCGAACAAATATCGATATCTCTCTGAATGTAAATATAAGGATAGATTCCCATTTTGTTGAGGCTTATGGGGTATAAACATCAATGGGTCTCGAGACAAATTCAAAATGAACTGCTTCGCAGTTCATAAAATCTGTCTCAAGACCAATTGAGGTTTATACCCCATAAACCTCAACAAAACAGAATTCAATCATTAAACGCATATACCAGGTAATTAGTGTAAGAGAGAACACATACATATTACCCCCCTTGAGGTGAGATTTGGGATATCAACCCTCGGGGAAAGAATGGTAAGCTGCTAAACACCTGCAAGCCTCGTGTTTCATAAATTAACAATCGCCGCCCTCAGGTTAAGACACCCCTTCTAACCCCGAAGGGGTTGAGAGATTGTATTAGTCTTTTTTTTTTTACAATCTTCACCTTTTTAATTCCTCGCTTGGATGGTAGGTCTTCTTATACAAAGTCTTGAAGTCCTCCCACTGTTTGTGTAATTGTGTGTCATGGGGCAGACCAGCCGACAGTGATGACACGAGAAGGAGGACAGCTATCTGAAACAGCAGAATGACGTTCGTGGAAAAAACATGAAATAAACTGTAATAACGTTATTTATATTTGACACTTAATTAATATATCTTCTACGCCAGTCGGAATGCTGTACTGGGTGCCTTCGGCATATATATATATATATATATATCCCGGGGGCCTTTGTAGGTAGGGGACTCCCAATCACTTAGAAACCTGGGATATGTATACTTTCTTTTTCTGTGACGATTATTACTGTGTTTTTTTTTATTAGTATATGTGATTATCTCCCTTTACTTGTTATATATGTTATTGTTATTTTTAGATATGTTTGTTGCAATAATAGCTCTCAAGAGCTAATGTTCCTTGTGTACATGTATGCGACGTTAAATAAAGTTTCTTGTATCTTGTTTCTTGTATTCCGTCTTTGCGTATTGCAGAGTTATCTTCTCTGGGGAGCAGGTATTGATTGTTACGTCACTTGTTTGTGAGAGTAACGTCATCAATTTTTGAGAAAACGACGTAGTTTTCTCACACAAACCAATGACGTAACAATCAATACCTGCTCCAAAGAGAAGATAACTCTGCAATACGCAAAGACGGAATAGTATTTCAGTGAGGTAGCACTCTATCCTCGGCATCAGATCCGTGCTATCACAATGAGGCAATTACATCAACATACATACTATAGTACACCGTATCCAGCACACATACACCCATGTTCAACACACATGGAGTCATGTCTTTAAATGACCTTAGCCGTTGATAGGATGTTAAACCCTGATCAACTAACGAATCCAGACGATTTATAAGTAACTTGTTTTAGCAACTAATCATTAACTATCAAACATGATCGAATATGTTGATTTTCAACAAATACGCAATCTGTTATATTACGTTACAATAATAAACATTTTGTTTGATACGGTATCTGTAGCATTTATATATATTAACATTTAATCAATTTGTACAAAATATATGATATCATGTCTCTTAACAAATTCCTTTGCTATTTTTTTCATCTTTAAAACATTTTGATGTTTTAGTTGAATGTTTGACATATTTGTTCTGGTGAACGTTTCCTTTTCTAGTCATGTTAAGCCGATCATTGTTGAGGCAGTAAGGAAGAACACATTATATCATATTGAGTCAGTAATCGTGCCACAGGTGTTCCTGGTGTAATATACGGTCAGTTACAATATCAGAAATATACCTGGTGTATTATGTAACAGCTTGTATAATTGTATGATGCTAATCACATGACGGGGTAATAAAACATAATGTCGCCCTCATGCTTTTATGTTTCCCCGATCATATTATCGTATTCGGAGCATCTCTAGAAATATCGACAAGGGCCATAACAACATGATCATCTCTATTATCGTGTCATTGTTTTTGATTGATTGATTGATTGGTTGATTGGTTGATTGATTGATTGATTGATTGATTGATTGATTGATTGATTGATTGATTGATTGATTGATTGATTGATTGATTTGTCGGCATAACAAAATATGTATTGCCCTTGTAATCGGAATATCGAATCACGATTCTTCGTTTTTCCCCGATTAATCAGGATTTATTCGGGCTTCTTCCTCGTTAGACTTGATTAACCTCGAAGAAGAAACAGTTAGGGCATTAAATGCATACTATTCATTAAGTTATCATATCAAAAGGGCATATAATGTCCTGATTTACTATACAATCAGATAATAAACTAGAAGACCGTGTGGTGTCAAATTCAGTCATTATAAATGCATATTTAAAAGTCGCGCGATGCCATATATCTAGTCATTTATCATATCAGGAGATCATGTGAATCAACACACATTCAGTTGTCTCCCCATAAGATTACGTGGTGTTATATAAAGTCAGTTAGCATACCAGAAGATCACGTGGTGTTATATAAAGTCATGTATCATACCAAAAGATCACGTGTTGTTATAGTATGTCTGGTATCATACCAGAAGATGGTGCATTTTAATATTAAGTCATGTATCATACCAGAAGATGGTGTGGTTTTATATTAAGTCATGTATCATACCAGAAGATCACGCGGTGGTATAGTATGTCAGTTATCATACCAGAAGATGGTGTGGTTTTATATTAAGTCAGTTACCATACCTGAAAATCACGTGATATCATATAATACAGCAAAGATGGCATACTACGATAGCACGCGGTACATGGTAAAACGTGATAAGTAACAACTATGAGACACTTTTACTTACTGTGCCAACGTAATGCTTCATATAATATCTGTCACATAACATTTGACGTTATTGTACTGTCCAATGAAATAAAAACAATTGTGTCTTACCTTAATTGTAAGCATTGTGGACGGTTCTTTGTCTGTACTCGGCCGGCGTTGTCCTCGACACTTTTGCTTAATCTTCTCTTATACTGTTTACAGTATCTTATTATATACATGTAATAGATATTATCAAATATTTGCTCACGTGATCTATTATAGTTGATGACAGACACATGACTATCATGTGATAACGAAGATACCTATCTAGAATGTTACATGTGCGCGACAAATATAGATAATAATGTGTGACAAGGTTTAGTTTTATTTGGTTTATCATCCAATAAACAGCTAGTGTCATTTAAGGACGTGTATGCATGTTTGTAACATGTAGGGGTATACGTATGTGTCGGTATTTTTGATGCATTTGCTCTCCTGCAATAGCGCGGATCTGAAGACGACTTTAGAGTGCTACTTCACTGAGATACGATGCCGAAGGCACAACGCATTAACACGCCATCAGGTCACATAATACTGACAACGAGTAAACAAACATAGATATATAGCATATAACAGATTATATAATTCAAGGAATGTGGTAGACATACGGAAATTTTGTATTTTTTTCGAAGACGTATACTATTAAAAAGAACCACCAGAAAATCCAAAATCTGTGATGTTTTGTTATTTCATGAGTGAAGATTTGAAAAACACAAAGTTAGTATTTGTCCTGCACAATGTGCATAGCTTTTGCTCAGTGAATTAGTTAAACATGACATGACAAAATCAATCACAGCAGTATTAAAACGTTTATTCCTTTGTATAAGTCAACATTTTTGAGCAATATCTTGTTTATATTATTATCTATTTTACACTAAAAACCTTTAAGAATCCTGTCCAACTGCACTGTGGTTTTTTCCAATAAACTGTACCCTCCCCGTAACTTCCGTTTGGGTATACAATGTAAATGTACCATAGTTGGGCAAGAAAACAAACTCCGGAAGCTCAGTAGGCTGGAGCAATGGTAAAGCAATCTGGTCTGAAATTCAGAGTTCGAATCCCCATTGGCGGATCTAGAGGGGTTATTGGGCTTCACGAAACCCACCACCATGAACATTTTTTTTATTAAAATCATGTATTTTCACCATTTTCATCNCCCCTCGAAATCTGGGACCCACCTCCCCCAACATATATAGTATCTGAATCCGCAACTGAATCCCAGTCTACACTTGCTGAAGGTCACGTACAAGGTATTTATCAAAGGTATAACCATGCCCGTAAAACCGTTTCCAATATTTAGTTACAATGTTCGGATGTGGTACGGGGATCCATAACTTGCTTTCTACGTTATCACGTAATAGTCATGTGGGTGTCATCAATTATAATCACGCGAGTAGATAAAATTGCATATGTATTATCTTATGTTTAACACCTATCAGTAGCAAGTAAACAAATTATCAAGGATAGCTAAAAGAACATGTTTCGACACCAATCTTCAGCAATGCGTGCATGTATGATGAAACATACCCTGCCTCCGGTACACATACACACATGCACACATACACTGCGTACGTCGAGGCACGAGCTAAAATGGCCTTAGCTGTTTATAGGACGTTGAACAAAATTAAACCAAAACAAAACCTAAACGATCAATGTACATGTACACATACACACACGTTCACATGCACATCACACATGGAGGCAGGTTCTTAAACTGCCTTAGCTGTTAAAGGGACGTTAAACAATCTAAAACCAAACCGATACATGAACCTGTACACGTAAATATCACACAAAAGACACTTTCATATTTGTTTCAGTAATAATTATTAACAATCACATCGTTTTATGCTAACCCAGTATGGTACCAGTTAGCCGGTACATGTACCGTGTGCTCTCCTTGTACATGCATGTACCGTGAGTTTCCCTTGTACATGTATGTACCGTGAGTTTCCCTTGTACATGTATGTACCGTGAGTTTTCTTTGTACATGTAGGTACCGTGAGCTCTCCTTGTACATGTATGTACCGTGAGTTATCCTAGTACATGTATGTACCCCTGCATGTTCAGAGGGGAAAGTTATGTTGCATCACACTGCATGTTATTGCTAGAAGCGTAATGAGGGGTCCCTGCAGAACCAGGGGTTTTCGTTCTTGTCTTCTACTGATTGAACGTTGCAGAAACAATAATCTGCTGCTCCTTTTGAAACCCTTTATACCTACGGTACTCGACCTCATATGATCTTAGCTGTTGTTGTTGTTGTTGTTGTTAATACCCAAACAAACAAATCTGACATGATATTTTCTAGTGTATACTATACCACGTGTTTCTCGTAGTTGTGTTTAAAGTAGACGTCTTAATTGAAACGTAATTATCTCGTGGATTTGAAGTAATCCATTTAATTGATATTTTGCCTCTTTCAAAAACGCCGGTGTCCTACAAAACTCTGTTTTTTGTATTGATATCAACGGTTTATCTGGGTCTTGCAATTTCCTATCTCTTTTCCGACGATACATCGCTTTTATTTTCATCACCTAACTCCGAAAGATTTATAGGCAAGGTAAATAAAGACTAGCTAATACTAACGAAACGGTCCAAACATTTCCCTTCAACACTGTCACCATCAATTGAAAATAAAATGAAACAAAAATAATTTTGTGTTAGAATAAAAAATACTGGGTTAGACACTTGACTTTCGATAACAATAAGTTATTGAATTTCTGTTTTGCGGCCAAAAGGAGATAATTCTTAGGAAAAGTCATGTCTAAAAACTACTCGTCACAACTCTGCATTCGATCTCGAAATTCGCCACTGAAAGATAATAATTGAGTAGGACCATAGAGCACAAAAATAAACGGGAACAATCTAGTATCAGAAATTCGAACAGAACACCGAAGGGACAATCGATACGGTGAGATGTCACGTGATTTCCGAACCAGCTACCAGATCATTTGTAAAAGGAGGGTATGTTTGGACATGCCTTATGTGTAAAAATACATTTAGTGATATCAAATTAGTGGTTATGTTAAACTTAAAACATTAAAACATCGAAATGACGTGTGTTCTGAGAGAAATGTACATTGATATAGAATGCTACTGAGAGTAAAAAGTATCCACCCTTAGAACGATACCAAGCGTTCTTGGTCTGCTACTTGAAATGTGAAATTTGCTTCGGGAAAGTCAGATGGGGTCAATTTTCGACATTGGAAGCTTTCCGCTCTTCTTGGTGATACTATCGATGGTGTTACATTTTACCAAGTGTCGATCTAATCCCTGAAACGTCTAATATTTGTCCCCATATCGTCAGGGTATGTCAAAATATACCGCCTTTAACAAATTCGCAGGCCCAAGTGATTTCCGGACCATAAAATAATAATAATAATATACAACATTTATATAGCGCCCTATATAATTTGTAAAATTACTCTAAAGCGCTTTACAACATATGGATAACAGTTATGGTTATAATTGTGAAAATAAACAACAAAGGCTTGCAATCTCTTTCATACATTTAACAAGCAAAGTGCACATAATTGAACAAATAAAAGGGTGGTATTTACATGACGTCTTTGCAAAGATTATAAAAATCAGACGCAAAGAGGTGAGTTTTGATGTCTCTCTCTTGAATTTGGACAGGGTATTTGACTTTCTAATAGCAGATGGTAAGCTATTCCACAACGTAACCGAAACCCTCCCAAAGCATCTGTTTCCGTAGGTCACAGTACGAGATTTTGGGACACACAACAAAGATTCTGACTCCGACCGCAGTGATCGTGACGGCTGATATAGGGTAACAAGCTCCTGTAGGTTCTGAGGAGCTGTTCCATTCAGTGCCTTGTATGTGTACACCAGAATTTTGTACTGCGACCTGTATCGTACAGGTAACCAGTGCAACGAATAAAGCACAGGTGTGATGTGCTCTCTCTTTCGAGTACGAGGAACTAGCCGTGCTGCAGTGTTCTGGACCCTCTGTAGACGACTAGTTAGTGTGTCAGATATACCACAGAGCAGGGCGTTACCATAATCCAAACGAGAGGTAACAAGTGAATGCACCAAAATCTTGCATGCATCTGCAATTAAAAACTGCCGAATACAGCCGATGTTCCTGTCCATATCCGACACCATTCATTATCAGAAAACAAGTACAATTCATTTTGAATGAATTGCCACTCAGATCATATACACTGTAATTTGCTGATCGCCAGGATGTCGATTATTTCTTTCGTCTTACAATGTTCAAAATATTCCAGGTGTAGTTCATCACACCTGTCGATACCGCTTGACCAGTGTGACGTCACTGCAAACGAGGTAGTGAGATGAATTAGGTCACATTATCATCAGAACTCAAGATACGAAACTAATCTTATGTTTACCTCACGAATTTCACAAATAATCAATAAGTAATCAGTCGTCTGCCCGATAAAGCTAAACGGAGTTATGTCCCTTTTAGGTTCGTTGTTGCCGATAAATGTTTTGGCATTCTGCACTCAAAAAAGTAAATATGGATGCTATTTTAAGCGCTGTTCTATTGATTCTACCGTATACCGTCCAAGGTAAGACTAGACTTCAGTTTATATGTATAAGCGTATGTTTAAATGGAGAAATATTACCTTCTTTAGCATCTTCGCTAGCCAAGTGTTCGCTTCATATACACTCCACTTATTTAAGTGGTGTGTATACGAAGCAAACACATGGTAAGTAAAGATAATTTTATAGATACCGAAAGAATCTTCAATAAAGGTCATCAATTTGTAATATCATTTTTTCACTTTATACTCCAAAAATGTACGTATTAAACGTGTCGCTTTAATACGCACATTGTGTGTGTAGAAAGTAAAACTGCAATATTAATAGTGTCTATTGTATATGTAGGTATATAGGACAATTTGGGTTGGGACCGAGGATTTCCCGAGGTTCTGAGATGAAATTCTGTACCTGATTGTAGAATATCCATATACCGTCAATAATTGTTTCATTTTCTCCCACATCTGAACCGAACGTTTGATAAAACAGTACATACAAATTGTCGATGCATCACCACTAAATGTAGTTAAATTTAGATTAGAATTTAAAATTGAAATTGTAAAGAGCAGACAAAAAGTACTGTATACCTTAGGTTAACCTCTTAAAGTTTAAAGATCGATGCAACACCAGGGCAAACTCGTAGGACAATTATCATTTTCTGTGATGTAGTGTCATTTGGTATGCAAATGCGTTCCGAACATTTTAGCACCATTCCACGCAATTATAATATGACGTCAGTATCCCGTCGTATGCTATTTAGGCTTTCAAAACTGACATCACATATAATTTGTACAGCTTTTCCTCTGCTGAAGTGATTAAGGGCATGAGCCCATAAATTATAAATAAGTAACATTTTTATGAATTTGTTAAACATATTTATTCCAGGTCTGTTCCTTGACACTATGATGTCCGATTGTTACGGGATCCCATTCATGTGTAACCTCAAGAAAAAGGGAGATAACTCACAAGAAGAATCAGTCAGTCCATTTATGGCCGGAAGTTTCTCAGGAAGCAACCTCCAGAACAAGGGAGATCACTCTAATAAAGAATCAGTCAGTCCATTTATGGCCGGAAGTTTCACAGGAACCGGAAGTTTCAATAGCATGCAGAGTCAGTCGGGTATTTCGAACGCGGGAAAAATGCATTACAATACTGGACAGAATCCGATGGGCATGACGTCAGGTGGGAAACATGACGGGGAAGAAGTTCAAAATCCGTTCTTCCAGACACAACAAAAAATGCTTTCCGGAGACTTGGCCGGAACTATGAAACAGGATTTCGCCGGTCAAACAACAGACACAGGAGGTTAAATTTATTAAACTACTCCCCATTACTGTAATTTAGCTTTAGAGACTCCGCTCACTCTCCTTTTCGGCAATATTAGTGTATAAAGCATCGATGTTGTTAATGTTATTAAAGTGTACTCTATCTGATGTGATTTTTTAATCTGTTTCTGACATTTTTTTAAAAGAAGTCTTTAGTTAATTTTAACTTAACTATTTTGAGTCTAATATGTAAACTTAACTCGTTTATATGTTACATGCGTTTAACTTTGTAAACTTTTGTGTAATATATGTTCCGCATAACAAAAAAATCTTTAATGGTTTGAACATTGTACAACGATGCCATGGTTCATATAACGTTTAGGGCACCAACAAATTAATCTCTATGTACATCTGTACTTCCATTGTCGAAATTTTGAATGCGTGAAAATAGATGTATTACTTAACCATTGACCATTGATCAAGGAATAATAAATACACAGCACAAAAAAGAATGTCCAGTAAACGGCTCCCATAGATTTAAAAAACCAACAAAGAAGTAAAAAAAAGGGAAAAAAAACAACAAAACAATGCAAATTGAGAAAAGGAGGAATTTACTCGTAGCAAGAAATCGTGTTTTTTTTATTGCTTCATCTTCTATATTGAAGGGAGAATACTCTATAAATAGTCAATACATCTAAGATTGGAACTCTTCCTCCCGATTAGAGTGCAGTGGTACCTTGACTTTAAACCTGGTATTGCGAGAGTGATCACATTATAAAATCCTCCCCATCTTAAAGTTCTAAACGATATATATACACTGAAAATAATGACATACAATTTTCAAAATTTCTGTTCTGTAAATTTTAGCTGAAAACATGGGGAGCGGCATTGGTATTGGTCAAGCCGGTACACAAGCAGGTGAACAGGTAGGCGGGGCAATGTTCGGTCCGGGGATGGTGTCCGGAGCCAGCAACACGCAACAGTTTGGGCCTGGGGGCATGTCTAGTAACGCCGGGGACATGTCGGGTTTTCCGGGGACAATGGCCGGGTCACAGGGCGCACAAGGTAATCTAGACATTGAAATGTTGTTTTGAGATTATTGAAAATGATTCAATCTAATAGAAAAAATATAGTTAGATTTTTTTAAAATAAAATAAATAGACAAAATGAATAAATAAATAAATAAATGAAAATAAAAATATCGAAAAAGAACTTAAGCACACCCTAAACTTGAAATTCAAGACGAAAGGCACGTTTTTATTTACAAGCTTATTAATCAATGGTGATAAGACCCACATTTCCATTTAGTTTCAAAATGCATATGCTACAATGTATGAGATTAGTCATAAATTAAAACTTATCAAGTGAACTGATACAGATTATGTTATTCACTCATACAAATTGAACTGAAAAATATGACAGAATTAGCCTTTTTTGTATTCAATAGGTGGGGGATATCTTGGATTTTCTGGTATGGGGGGATTCCCTGGGTCATCCGGGATGTCAGGGGGATTCCCCGGAGGATCGGGAGGGGGATTTCCCGGTGGGATGTCCGGCGGCAGCGAGACTACACAACATGGAACTACAGGTATACAGTTGATTTTTTTTTCAATATGTTAGATAATTCCTGAGATAAAGACAAACTCGAAGATGAATTAACAAAAAAAAAATACCATCTTTTGTACGTGGTTCAACGTTATTAATAAATGGATATGATTGAATTAGCGAGCAATTCATCGCTTACATTTAAAAAAATGTTTCATAAAAATAAAATCAGGTTTTACATGTTTTTGATGTACATATTGGGATGTTTTCTAAACGTTGTCAACACACCAATACCCCGATGACGTAGACACCAAAAATAAATACGTCACTATAATAAATTACAAGACAACAATTCATTTCTTAAATAATTATAAAATATTACACAATCATTCTTTTCCACAGGCTCTTCCATGACAACCAGTAAACAAAAAGATGGTATATGTGAGGTTAGCTGGACCCGATGCCAACAGAGGTGTATAACTGTCGACCCTGACACTCGGTGTCCTGTTTGTACTTGTGGTTAGTAAACAACGTATCCACCTCACTGAACATTATACATGTATTGCCCTTGTCGATTTTATGTTTCTCCGAGATTTATCTTGTTGCAGGAGGGCGAAGCCCGAGTTACACGTGGTTAATCGAGGAGAAAACAAATGCAACACTATTTTATGATGCCAATCTGATAGTGAAGATTGTCAAATGAAACATCATTATTGTCGTCTGCTTCAGTCATTCGGACTGGGTTATGGTAGATGTTGCCACTTTTTCTAGAGAGGTTCCGAATTAAGGAACATTGGTCGGGAATACTTGATTGCATGAGGGCGACATGACGTTTTATTTTGTCATGTGATCAATATTATCCAATCAGACACGCTGTTATAAAAATAAAGCATAATGATATGGCCTATGATTGATTGGCACATTTACGTGTGTACGCCAAGGTGATGCCCCTCTTTTTATCTGACTTGCTTTAACTTAGTAAACACACTCATAGTTACGCACATCCGTAACGATTGTCAAGTTGCATGTGTCAGTATACCTATGCTATCTTTATCTGGCTGTATCCTTTAGGAATACAATGTTTTCATGATTTCCAATAAAAACAAAACGCCTGAAATTATCTGTAACGCAGAAACAAAAGACAAAGGAGGGTTTAGTTCTACAATTTGTTTTTTCATTATCAAGCTACCCCTACCGGTAAGGAATTTAAAAAATAAGATACCTGCTATTTCCCACGGCATGATTTGTATGTAGCGACTAATATGGGATTGGGGATAGGCTTTATGTCCTATACTTTGACACACGTACACACGCGACCAACGTGAATCGATCACACCCATTGCAACATTTCGGATTTTAAATTCTCTTTAGTTTCTTACCACTTTCTCCCTGACGCCTTACTAAGCAAAATATCGCTTCTAGTTTTTTGTGGATCGTTCGCCAGAGCGAGGAAGTTTGTGGGTTCTGTTTCTCGATTGAGAACAAACAAGAGTCCTTTAAATTACATGAAGGTCTTGCTTTTCTATGTTGAACGTTTAGCTTCACGTGTGTAGCGGTGAGGACCCTTTAGATGAACTTGCCTATAAATAGGACGTTAAACCCAAAAACCAAACGAAACAGTTAGTAATCAATGTATTGTATTATTTTAGAAGATGACAGCAAACCTAAGGTATCGGATCACGGACTAACCGGAAGTGACGAACACACAACTCATACTCGTATGTATTGACTTATTCCGTTTTGCGTATTGCAGAGTTATCTTCTCTTGGGAGCAGGTATTGATTGTTACGTCATTGGTCTGTGTGAGAAAATTACGTCTTTTTCTCAAAATTTGATGACGTTCCTCTCACAAACAAGTGACGAAACAATCAATCCCTGCTCCCACGAGAAGATAACTCTGCAATACGCAAATACGGAATATTTTCATCTTCATTTTCTACAAACTTGAATCAAATCTGATTTCTCTGACATTCTTCGCAAGTACTGAATAACATGTCCGTATTTTGGGACTCGCGTGAATCAAGGTTTCAGACCAGAGTTGTCCTTCCTAACATTGATTTTTATGTTTATGATGATGATAAGGTACGGCAACTCTGGATAATCATTGGTCATCGATTTTATCACTAATATATTTGTTGTTGGCTTGTGAATGTTTGCTCAGTATATCAAAATTTGACTTGTGGGATGTTTATTCCCCAATTGAATCTTTTGTGGGCTTTCAACGTTTCACTCATTTTGCATATATTGATTACTGTGGCATTTAATGCAAATAAGGATTACGTTAATATTTATGTAATATGTATTATTTTAAATGTAAGTGCATTTTCTATAATCAATCACAAAACACAATATATATTACCAGTTCTACCACTTAACATTTTGTTTTTAAGTTTTGAAATGTATTTAAATGTTTTATTAGGCATTTGATTAAAAAGTCGAAGATTTATATCTATCTTGCTGACGATTATTTCGGTTTTGCAGCAAAATCAACTGAATGTGGGAATTTTCCTCTCGACTGTCCAAACCACTGTATCGAGTTTGATGAGTCGGGCTGTACAACATGCACGTGCAGTAAGTGACTCATTGAGTCTATTGATATTGACGACAGCAACATCCGGTGCGGGAAACGTTTAAGGATTCCTGTTCCACTGTATTTTGCAGTTTTAGTATGTACAGTAAAGTCTCCTTAATTTTGTTTTGGATAAACGCTACGGTAACTCAGCTGAACAGGGACACACCCGTTACATGTAACCAGGTAGCCCAGTCGGTTAGAGTGAGAGTTTAACCATTTCACCCCTACATAACTTCAGTAGACTCTACTATGCATTGAAATGGATGAGTCCATTATGGTCTTCAGTGGTGAAAAGGTTAACAATCTGAAATATCCTGGGTTCGAACCCCGGTCTAACCAGCCTTTACTTTTGTTTCATTATTTTGTAATTATCATTTTTCATAAAAGTCCCACAAGCTCTGGTTTTCTTTCCAGATCTGATTAACAAGTTTCCCATGATGCATATTAACAGATTTTGATCATGGTACGGGATTGCTTTCAGTCCGGCGCCTGTTATATAATGCTTTCTGGATAATAAATGCCCTTCGATTATTTATTATTATATTTTTGTTTGTTTGGTTTCGTAGTTTTACTTCAGCTGATAATTCAGACTCTCCTTCAATATCAACTTGAATGTACATGTACCTTAATTTCAAACACAATATATGTGCGAGACATAACGTTCGCGGTTTTTATTGCGTTAACAAAATTAGAAAAATAAAACCCCTCCGACTAACAGCATCGTTAACATGTGATGGAAAGTAAACAAAAATGTTTTCTTATCACATGATAAATTCAGAAAAGTACTAACCCTTCNCCCCCCCCTCTTTTCCTGCAGAATTTTTAATTAATTTGAAAAGTGTATAGCCCTATCCCCCTTTCTCTCTATCTCCCTCTCGCATGCTATTACATTAAATTTGAAGCTCATTTAGACTCTCTCTCTCTCTCTCCCTTTATCTATCTTTGTTGATCGATCAACCATGTAACCATGTTATTTTATGTTAATGTGTTATATGTCATTTACCTATTATTGCATCTACATGGAGTTCTGCTATTTGTATTGCATCTATTTATGTAACGTTAATTCTTTTTAATTTTCAGAAAATGGAAACAGCGAATCATCTTGGTACCAGGACATATGGAATTAAACGTTTACAAACATTGTTGACTGTTATTCTGTGTAAAAGAAAATACAGATTTTCAAGATATTTTTGTGTATTTTATTTATCTGGTAAATTCGTTTTCTAGATTTACTTATAAATACATGTACGTTCAACTACTGCATGTAAGTATATAATCGAAGTACTGTTTCATCTGAACGTAAAATACACACAAGTGATTGCACCTGAACAAATACAAATTCGTAATATATACAGCAGGGTTTTCCTCAGTTTTTTTTAAGATGACATCTTTTCATATTTAACGAATATTCAAGATGGACACGCTCAATCATACCTTAATACATTAAAGGTTGGGGGGGGGGGGGGGGGGGGTGCCATTGTCACGTTGATGTGGCCTATAGTTTTGGTTTAAATAAGTCCTTTTATTTACCAGACTTTTGATGAACTTTAAAACCAAAGAAATCATGATTGTTCCATTAATAGGTCTGAATTTTCTAAAAAAAATATATAGAGAAAGGTGTAGGAGTTTTGCACATTGAAGATATATATGACGGTTCATAGTCTAAAGTGATTCGGGTCAATTGAGTTGATACGACAGGATAGGATTTCAAACTGAAGCTGATACGGAGCCTTATCAGCTAAAAGGCCTGGGGAAAACCCTGTGTTTAAACAGCATGCCGAAAATGAATTACTCTGCAACATAAACCTAAGGACACATCGGTGATGATAGGGGATCAAAAAGCTGAATCAAGCATAATCTAATTATTGCACATTTGAATATTCAACTGAAACGAAACGTTTTTTATTGTTTTAATTACGAAATTTTAATCAATAATAACAATTAGCCAGTCATTTCATAAAAAAAATCGGAAATAATGATACTCACTTGTCACTGTATTTTTTTCTATTTCTACCATCAAGCTATTACAAGTCCTGCTACACGTGTACCGTGGAATCAAATATTTTTGGGGGCCAGCATTCGTGATCTTGAGATAAAACACCATGTCGTGGGTACATGAATTCGCTGATTGCGAGTTCACACTCAATCACAGAATTGCTTTATATCAAACTTGTTCGTGGACCTATGCATAAGTGGATAAAGATTACCCACAAAACCAACAAAATTTAAAATCCCACGAAAATTAGTTATAGTCCAGTATATAGGAGAGTTCAATCATGCATTGCCTCCTATTTAATTCATCTGTTAATTTCTTTTTTGACTATTTTTTTTTTATCGAGAACAAACAAAGAGGAGATGAAGGAAAAACTGGTCTAATTTCAGGTGAAGTCGATTAAATTAAAAGACAATATTCTTTTACAATGGTTAGGAAAATGGTAGGCGTTGGTTTAAATGGTACTGTATGACATTAATACGGAGCCCCCGAAGGGACATGGTAAAACATTTACTAAACCGTGCGCACGGATTAACAAACCGTGCGCACGGATTACCAAACCGTGCACACGGATTATTAAACCGTGCGCACGGATTATTAAACCGTGCGCACGGATTATTAAACCGTGCGCACGGATTACCAAACCGTGCACACGGATTGACAAACCGTGCGCACGGATTATGAAACCGTGCACACGGATTATTAAACCGTGCACACGAATAACCAAACCGTGCACACGGATTACTAAACCGTGCGCACGGATTACTAAACCGTGCGCACGGATTACTAAACCGTGCGCACGTATTAACAAACCGTGCGCACGGATTAACAAACCTTGCGCACGGATTACGAAACCATGCGCACGGATTACCAAAACGCCGGGTGTATCAGTTACCAGGAGTTATCTTTCTGTTCTCATTAGTTCTTCCCCGATATATGATAGCCAATTCCTACCGATCAACGGGAAGCCTACATTACGTAAGTATCGCGAACTTGACATAACTAACAAGGCAGATATGAAGATCTACTCAAAGAAGTTATTGATCCATATTTGTTATTGATAAGCACCAAAATGTCCAAACATTTAGTGCTATTTATTGTATACAGTTGGTAAATTTATAAACGGGAGCACTTTGGTTTGCCATTTCTCATTTAAATTCGTTTACATGTGTATAACTCATCGCCCCTCCTCATTGGCTGATACTCTATATAGTAAGTGTGTTAGTATATTTCACAAACTGTGCATTATTGTATCGTTTCCCTCCGTGTTGTTTACATCTTATGTCAACTTATCACAAAACGCAGTGACACTATGAAAACAGACAGCAATTTACTCCCTCCTTTTGTCCATAAATTATCCGTGACATTTGGAGAAATTGGGTCGGTTAGGGTAAACTGCCCC